CTTGGTGTTGCTGAGCCCAGGGTGGCTCTGGTGGGAAGCTTTCGGGGTGCCTCCATCCCCCGCTGCGGGACACGTCTCCTCTGGGCTGTCCCCTGCTCATTCACAGCCTCCAAACCCAAGCACGGGGGGACAGATGAGAGAGACCTAGGTCCTGTAAACTGCTCCATCCCACCACCAGCAGCCCTTTGGCCATTCTCTTCCTCTCTATTTGATTAAACCGAGGCGTCTGCTTTTGCCTCAGGTCTTTCCAACCCTTTCCGAGGGCTCCTGAAGCTGGGCAGCCTGGAGCGGAGAGGAGCCATGGGGATCTGGAAGGAATTTTTCTGTGAGCTGTCGCCGCTGGAGCTCCGGCTCTTGCTGGACCACGAGGACCGCATCTGCGTCGAGAGCTACTCCCTGCTGCGCTGCGAGGCGCTGGCGCTGACGCACTCGGACGGCCGCTTCGAGCTGGTTTTCCTGGGGAAAAGACTCTACCTACGAGCTCCTTCTCGAGACGAGGCCGAGGACTGGTTGGACAGGATCCGCGAGGCGCTGCACAAGTGCCGGCCTCAGCTGGAGGAGGAGGAGTGGGAGACGCTGGAGTACGTGGAGGACGGTAGCGAAGGCCAGTCCATCCAGAGCGACTCCGCTGCCCTTCTCCAGTACGGTGACCCCCCTGGGAACAGCTTTGACTGGACTCCAGCTCACGAACCGGAGCTAGATGCAATAAAAGAGGCTGTTCTCTACATGGACGTAGACAAAAACTGGGTCCCTTTTATTTTCTCCCTCTCTCTAGAAGCTTTAAAGTGCTTTAAAATCAGGAACAACGACAAAATTTTAAGCAACAGTTACGGTATAGGGACCATCCAGGACATCCTTCCAGACACGAGCCTTGGGGGACCCGCGTTCTTCAAGGTGATCACCTCCAAAGCTGTCCTGAAGCTGCAGGCTGAGAACGCGGAAGAAGCGGCCTTGTGGAGGGAGCTGGTCCGTGACGTGCTCATGTCCTACCTAGAGAGCGCTGAGGAGGCGCTGACGCTGGCCGGCAGCTTGGACGGACACTCCCAGGTCATCCTGAAGAACATCGTGAAGGAAAACAGCTTCTTGTTGCAATACCTGGTGGCCATCCCCTTGGAGAAAGGCTTGGACTCGCAGAGCTTCATCTGTGCAGGTATACGTTGGCTTGTCCGAAAAAAACCAGCTCCATCTTGGCGGGACGGTGGTCCCTTTGTTGAGGTTAACGAGGTGACATGGAATTGGAGGACTAAACCCCTCAGTGGGGCTTCCTGTTGCCCGTCAGTGACACCTTTGGTGGTCTGGGGGTGCCCCACCACGCTGAACCCCCGTCTCAGGCTCAGGGGGGCGGCTGCTGGGCTCCT